CCAAATGGGATAAGACCGGGTGCAATGAAGTTGATCCTCTCGACTTTAACCTTTCTTTTTAAAAAATTTTTAAGCTGGGTCAAATAGGAAACCCTGGCCAATAAAAAAAAAAAACTGCTGCTTTTAAAGTGGATTCAAATGCAAGACCTCTGTGCTAACAGTTGAGGGATTTTGTGTATGAAAGATAACAAAACAAACTACCAACCTATCTATACCCCACTCAATTTCTCAACCAGGACAGGTCACATAGATGTTAAAATAGGGACGTTTAAACTATATACTTTTCTACTGGCGCTGACACTAATGATTTTCAAACAAACTTACTAAAAACACAAGAATTAGGCAAGCTGACATAGATAGAAAATGGGTTACCTGACCGCCAGATATGCTGCGGTCACTAGGAAACTGTTTTCTTGTGAGTGCGCCTTTGATAAACAATAAATGGTTAAATGTATGCCAGACTGAAAACAAGGAACACATTACGCAATACATAAAAATAGATTAAAGAAACAAATACAAAAAATATGTTAAAGAATATAATTCCTATCTTAACAATGAAACAAGATAGAAATGAAACTACTGTTATAGCTGTAGTGATTTTATAACAAATGAACACCTCATGCGGTCAGAATGTTATGTTATATGTAATGTTATGTCACCCATATGTTGTGCCTTAGGTTGTTATATATACTACATTACAGTATTAGATAAAAGGCAGCCTATATGTTTTACATGACAAATCCCTCCAAAAAATGTTAGGTATGTTTGAAACGTTAGATATTAATGTAAGTATGAACTTTCTGTACTTTTACACATATTTTTTAAATGGCAAAATACTAGGCACATCCTGAAGAGTTGCAGCAGAGAATGACCAAACAGACAAATGGGAAACAAACAGTTTAAGAAAACGAGGATGTCCAAAAGACAGCCTAAGACAGACACTAATGAGAGAGGTCAAAGGTGATGGACTGGATTCCACACTTGATGCTGAAACAATTGATAAGATGATAAGACAGAATGAAAGAATAAACTATGTTATGTGCAACTGGACAAATGATCATAATGATGCAGAAATGTTAGCCATATTTATTTGATAGGAATGTTATTTCAGTTAACTGCTAGTTTCAGAAAATTAGGGCAAATAATCCTAACATACAAGAACATATTTATTATTATAAATTAAAATGAAGAGCTAGCAACATTTATAACAACAATTAACATAATATCAATGCCAGCTAAGTCAATTAACATGAAAATAACATCAAATTTTAAAATATCAAATAATACAAAAGATCGATATGTTTAAAACAAAATAAATGCAGTCATTAAAAGCATTTATTCATCAGACATTAAAGAAGAAAACAGTTCTGTTTTTAGCTGCTTTACACATTTTTAAATCTGCTGATCTTGTCACACACATTAAAATAATTTTTATAAAAATAACTGTCACTGTAATTCCTATTTTTATCAGGGACAGTGAAAACAGTATACAGTTGCTTAATTTCAAGCCAAATGAACTTTCAAAACATATGGCTACTATATTTTTTTTTAGTTCTATAAATTCTGAGTTAAACTATTATTATTTTTTCTAGACCCTGTTTTTAGTGCCAGGTTTTGAAAAGACATCTGTTGCTGTGTATTATGTAAATGCTAATATTCCATCTAGCCATAGCTTGCATGGGTGATCTCTAGATCTGCTAGAGGACTGTGTGGTCTCGAGGCATGGAGGTCCCAGGTTCAAGCCTTGATTTTTTTCACATGGACTTCTAGTAATTTCCCCTGGACTCTGGGTAGTAAGATTAGAAGTCCATATGTATTGTTGTGCACCTTAAAAAAAAATCCCTTGGCAGTTGGAAATCAAAAAGAGTAGCCTAGCGGTGCTCTGCCCGGGCTAAATTTGGAGTTAAAAATTTACCCAAAGTATTTCAGGATCCTTGCAGGTGCTACAGAGTTTGTGAAATCGCTGAGATTCTTCGGACTCAGGTTTGAGTCAGAAGTAGAAGGGAGCACTTATGGTTTACTACCCTTGTGCCATGATGTTGATCCGTCATCTAAACCTTAACCTAAATCTTTTCTCTAGCTCTGCTTCTGCTGTGTCTAAATGACAGGGCTCTCTGTGGTGCCCTGTCTTGTGGTAGTCTCCACACAGGTCCGAATCATTTGATCTGCTATTTCTTGATACACTGGTTCCATCTTAACTTTTCTCATCTCTTCTTGTTGCATTTATGATTCATCCCAGACTTTCATTTCTGTTGTTTAATTTGTCATATTCCTTTTGTTCCTAATGTTCATATCTGGTTCTGGCAACATAATGTTGGTAAAAATAGTGTACTCAATAGCGCTCTTCTGATGTCAATTATTACATGTTTCTCTGGTATAATGATTTCTTCTTTTTCTTCTTCTTCTACGTTCATCCAAACAGGTAATTGTGTTTTGCCCATTTGCAGCATGGCATTTGTTGACCCGGGTTAGCCTTGCCAGGTCCAATGATTTGATTTGCTTTATCACATCAATATCCTATCTATGCTTTCTACTGGAAATTACGTGAGTTAAATTATATGAGCTAACACCCCAAAAAACTATCAGTATGGCATTTGCCAGGAAGGTATTCTAGGATAAGAATAAAGACCATTTTACAAGCAGTAGCCACACATAATAGTAGGTAGTATTTTTCTTTCACCCATGAGAAACATAACTTGTCTTATTGAAGATGAGATATGTCCCATATGTGCAAGGCAGGCACCGTAACACCTCAAGCATGTGCTCATCAATATTAAATTACTCAAATGAAACAAATATGAAACCCTTGTCCATGGTGCAATTCTTATTTTCGAAAAATGTAAGCCCACACATTCCCAGACAAAGCTGTGCCACGGAACGGTGCAGACAGTTAAAGAGCATTTACACTACAATAAGATGACTGCTGTATGTCAGAGAACAGCTCCCACAATCCCTAAGACACACTGCAATTCCCTTGCAAGAAAGCAGAGAGAAAGCCTTAATTTTTTTTTTCTGGCATCTGTTTTTTTTTTTTTTTTAAGATGATAGTGTTCTATTGTGATAGAGGAGAAAAATCTTACATAATAAGTGCATGCAGTATGCATTTGACTAACACTTCTTCTCAAATTATAAGTGTTAACCTGTCAGCAATCCTGTTCTCATGTGTTATAGTAAGTTAGTTAGTTATTAGTTAGTTAGTTAGTTAGTTAGTTAGTTAGTTAGTTAGTTAGTTAGTTAGTTAGTTAGTTAGTTAGTTAGTTAGTTAGTTAGTTAGTTAGTTAGTTAGTTAGTTAGTTAGTTAGTTAGTTGGGTTATCATCATTGCACTCCGGACATGACCATAGGTGCTCAGATCCTCCCCTCAGTATGAACCCCGACATCCGTGGCTAACAGTACCAGTTCTATGTTGACTAACAAGTCGTCTGGTGTGCGTCTCGTTTTTTGCTATGCCGATTCTTATTCCCAAGTCTGCCATTCTGGCGAGTGATGTGGATTCACTGCCCCCAAAGCCCTCTATCCTTTCTATTTAACAAAATGGAGCTAAATAGTCACAGACAATGAGGCAGACCAAGAAGACAATGTAGAGATAATATCCTGTTCTCATTTGTCCTTATTCACACTTTAATTAACCCCTCCCCCCAACCCCCTGCAATTCAACATGACACACAGCATCCTATTCCCATTAACCCGCATCAATATCTGTATTTTTCATGTCCCCCTTCCACATTACTTTATATCAAAGTAGAGGCTGATCCCGATGTCGCCTGCCTATGCCATCTGTAATTACCGCATAGGACGTTCTTAGGGACACTATTATCTATGCGCATTCTTGCCATCTGAGCTTTTGAAGATTGAGCACTAAGAAAACTGTAGAGACACCTGCTCCTTCTCATTTATTTAACCATTTTTTTTATATATAAGTCAGAGGACCAAATTTCACTACCATACAGAACATGCTCAGGAAAACTGTGAATGATGGTTTCTAACATAAGAAAACTGAGGCGAACCACCGCCATCTTTATACGGGAATGCTCATTGTAGAAAACCTCAAAGTCTTACTTTCTATTTGGCCACTAAAGAAGGTTTGAAATGGAGAAACAGGTGTAGAAGAAAGATATACAGGAGATCCTCACAAGTCAGACATTCAGCATCACAGATTTAGTGTGAGATACTGGTTGTCTGACTGCTCACAATTTGTCCATTTTAATTCAATGAGTCAAAAGCATGTGATCTGGAGAGCCAGATGAATTCAACTTCTATTATTTATTCTTCAAGACTGAAAATGGCTAGTGCATACTGAGAGACTGTCAGATGACGAAGAGGTAAAAACTGCATGCACAAGGGAGCTGAATGGTCGTACACAACAAGGCAGACCAAGAAGACGATGGAGAGATAATATCCAGATAGACCTACATAAACTTGGTGTAACCAACTGGAAAAAAAAGGCCAACCATACAGATGACTTGAAGCTAGTGATATCTGCAGCAATGAAACTCAAGGGCTCGGTAGGCTGAAGAAGAAGACGAAGAAGAAGACGACTATTCTGTCAAATTGCCTAATAAAACCACAAACAACCAACAAATGCTGCATACAGTTTTAAAGGTCCCGTGAGGTGGATTAGATTCGAAGCTAATTCTGAGCAAATTTATTATGATTAGTTAATTAGTATTTGTTTACATATCCCAATACACATTTTATAAGAAACATGATAATTTCATTCATATGCCCCAAACACAAAAAACAGCTAAGCTTCAGAATCTGAATATTTTATTAACTTTAAAAAAATCTTATCCCTAATGCAGGCTTTGGAAGGTCTACCAATTTAAAAAAAACAATTAGCGATCCTTGCTGTTAGAAAACTAAAGTGAGTGTATATGAATGTATAATAATTAAAGTATTGAAGAGATAAAAACTGTTTACCTAACACCAGAATTGGAAGAAACTTTCATACTGTGTTTTAAATTTTACAAATGATAAAATAATACCAAAATATTTACTTACCCTTGCTTTGCATTCCCGTTGGTCAGATTTTTTCGTAAAGTTAAGTTGGTAGGATTACTGGCCAGTGGGTTATCTGGAAATTTTATAAGTAATTTTTGACCTTCCACCTCCATTCCCTAATAGAAAGGATAACAAAAGATTAGATTACAAGATATGAATCGAGTGGCTGAGCAGACTGCATGTGACTCTAAATTTCAGGGTTCTAATCAACAAAGGGGGGAAATAATGTTCGGAAAACCTTTTCAGATAACACTGGAATATGAGTTACAAGTAGTTAAGAACCGATATCACAGCTCTCAGGAATATTTCTATAACTGCTCCGTCCGAATCTTCAGCAGCAAGCATAGATTTCCAATTCTGATGGTACTAGTAACAGTCTGATTTTATGTCACCCCACCTCCATCCCCTAAGAGTTGGCCAGATTCCCTGGTCACTCCTTGCTGTGCCATTCTCTTCAAACTATGTTGATCTATTTGTGCATCCAAACTGTATACTGCCCCCCAAAGGGCCCTTACAACATCTAGCTTGTCACGCATTAATTTACCCTCAAGTGGTGAAGAACTAGCCAATCAATCTGCCTGTTTATTTTCCAATATACCAGCATACATTGGAGAAAATATCTAAATAATGCTGACTACTCTTGACCTCTAAAGCGATGCTTGCCACTCTGCAAAGAGTGTACCTGTCTCCACCTTTATCAACAAGCTCTGTCAGTCAGTTACAATTATGACATTTGTGTGCAGCTGGTGCTCAAGCCAGCAGAATACACATGTTCTGACTGTAATACTGGAAAGTTGTTTACAGCAAATAACACACTTATGCCTAATATTTTTCGCATAGTCCCTTCTATGTGGTGGTAATCATCTCAACTATCCAAAACCCTTGGTCTCATCCTACCCCTATCCCTCCAATTTTCTCATCATCATGATTATCTTTAGCTTTCCCTTTCTCCTGATACCCAAACAATGTACAGTATTTTCTTCTGAGGTGGGTAATAGTTCTTTTTGGGATTTACTTTCTAGATTTCATCATTACACTTTTGATCTGCCTATGGTGCTCTCATCATTCATCTATAAAATCATATATCTCTAGTGCTTCTGCATAATTATTATTTGCTTCCTTACATCATGACTGGCTCAAAAGATTCTTGACAGGGACCCTAAAAAAGGTGTTGGTACACCATCTTATACATGTTGTTAGGTTACACGATAGGGAGAAGCATTATAGCCCACAACACGTGGCAAAATATTTGACAATGATGACATACAAAAACTGAAACTAGTCATTAACTAAGTTTTTAAGAGAGGTTAGTTGCGTATCCTTTAGAGGACATTGCAGAACCAACCCCAGCAGCCCCTGGCTGTTGTGTGGTTTCTCGAGGCAAATTTACATCTAATAGTTTGCCATTGCTTTCTGGACGGTCAGCTTCTTGATACCCCTGTCGAAACCAATGCAAGGCGCATGGCCCGCAGCTGGGATCGAACCCAGCACCCGAAGCATTCACATCGACTTAGCCACAGAGCCGACTAACTAAGTTTATAAGGTAGAATTGACTAAATCACAACTCATTTAAAAAGTCACCTGCAGTTGATGCATGGCCCTGCCAGCAGCTTCTTTGGTCTTAAAATTGACGAAAGCACAATATTTTTCAGGTAGCAGTCGTATACTTGTCACCTGACCATACCTGTGAGATTCACAAAATGAGACTGCTGTTTACTCTAACACACAAAGCAATTATACATTTGTACACTAATCGTTTCCATGCTATCACAAACTAACTCAGTATTTATTGGTTCCTGTGTTCCTTCAAGGCAATTTGAAATTCAGTGGTTTCTGTTTGCTTTTTTAAACAAAACAACCCTCATATGGCTTCTGATTGCTCTTTAAACAAAACAAACCTCATATGGTTTCTAATTGTTTTTTAAACAAAACAACCCATATACTATTGTTGAAATCAATGCAATCCGGTGTTACCACCAATCTGGCTGCTGAGGACTTTAAGCCTCAGTAAACTGGAATTGTTAAACTGCATTCAGAACATCAAAGCCACAGATGATGGCGTGTGCTAATAATGAAATAAAATTAGATGGACAATTTACAAAAATATGGATAGAGTTTTGAGGTAACTGGATCTGAAAGTATAAAAAGGAGCTTCAAGATGTTGGTACAATTCTATCTTTCGAGGCGATGATATTACACATTGTTATAGGGTGTTGGGGTTTGGGACTTACAGCCCATGATGATGGCAAGTGCGACTAGCAAAAACTGCTTGCATTACCTCCGTTTTTGTCTTATCATGTGAAGTAAAGTATTCTTTGTAGTTCTTACATGAGAAAGCTATTTAGCCTCTTCTTCTTCTGTTATTGGAAATTATAGCAAATATTTAATGACTGTCCAAAAAAAAATGTGTATTAACTCTGAACTTTAATTCTTTAACATCTAGTCAAAAATCTAGCTAGTTTAAATAGGTGAAATTCTTTTCTTGTCCGCCTGAAGCCTTAATGAATCACCTTTTACTGTTATAAATGCCCATGAGTTCTGAGGTCCAACAGGTGAAAGGGAAGAGGAAGAAACTAATAGAAAATATTGGTAAATTACAATTAATTAAGAATTTGCTGAAATCGGATGTCTTTGGCCAAAAGGTGCAGAGGCCACAGCCCAGATCTTAACCATAAAATAATGCACAATGATCCTTTTTCAAAGATGAATGCAGAAGAACTGCTGCCAATGGTTTAGTTGTCTACCATAGCTGCAAAGGTCATAAGTTTGATTTCAGATCTTGCCTGTTCGTTCACAAGTGTAGAAGATTTGCAGATCCCTGGAGGTTGTCAACTGGATCCACACACTCTCTAGTGATGAGCCGGTGCAACAAAATCATTTCTCTTGCTTTCAAACACCTTGTAACAAAAAACTGCTTTAGCTGACGGGCAAGACTGGAGAACTTACTTTGAGAATAATAAAGTCAACTTCTTTTCTGTAACCGTAGGTAAAACATTTCCAACCCACAGAGCTGTCAACCCTTCAGGATTTGTCGGGCTGTGGAGTAATCAACAAATGTGTCAGGAACATATAAACACTGTCTAAAGTAAGAATTATTCTATTAAATGACACCACAAATACATCCTGTTATGTTATCACAACATGACTGCACCTTGGGCACTCCCAGTCCTCCAAGGCAGCAACAACCCTGAGTACCTCTACTGATTATTCCCTTGAAAAGAGGGTTACAATGTCTCACATTCTGACTTCAAAGACAACACTAGTGTGCTTACCTCTCAGGTAATGTAACTGTGTTAGCATCAGAGATTCAACACTATCTTCCAGCCAAGTCTTTAGAGTGTTGATTTTATCAGCTGAGTCCAAGATTCTTCCAGCAAGCAGTGGTGAAACTGTTGCCAACTGATCCACTCATTAACTTGAATACATGAATCATAGTCTGGTTATCTTCCTCTTTTTCTTAACCTTAATCGGCTGTAAACTCCAGGAGAAAGTTTGTGTTGTTCAACCACTTCTGGACCGTAGTCCTGTTCCAGACCTTGAGTTTTGTATGCACATCCAGTTTATAGATCTGGCTTATTTGTATACAGACTGTCGGTCCCACATCTCTTGAGCAGATCCACTCTGACTTTGAGGGAAACATTCCTAATTGGTTAACTCTTGTCTATTCTTTTCTCCCGCAACGGGTCCCCGAAATCAACACCAGAAGTTATGACCAAATAATGCAGCATGCTCTAAGGACTAATAAAACATACATTCAGAAGTTGATACATGACAGAAAACTGTAATGATAAACATTAAAACAAGATATATTGTTGTTGCTTGTTTGTTTTAGTAACCAGAAGCCATGAGTTGTTAACCCCTAGGCTCAGTATTATGGATATCGCAACCTTTCGGCATTGATTCCATTGCAAAATCCTGTAAATCTGGGATAAATGTGGCTTTTCTGCAGACCCCCGGGAGTGAACCCGGACCACAAGGAGTTCGTCACCCGCTCACCGCGCAATCCGGTTTAGCCAACTACGCTAGAGAGCCAGGAAAACAAGATATATAATCAACCCTGAATCTTCGTCTTTGTGGTGACTACCTGTAAACTCTAGCAGAGAGTTCTGGTCATTCATCCACCTCCAGACTTCAACCTTGTTCTAGGACCTGACTGTTGCATGCACATCCGTTTTACCAATCTTTCTTATTTGTATGCAGACCGCTGGTTCCTTGCCTCTCGAGCAGATGAACTCTGACTTCGAAAGAAGCCCATGATTGGTTGACTCTTACTACAAGCTTGATGGGGAGAAAGTGGGCCTATTATTATTATCTTCTCTACAATGAGGCTCGGGAGCCTACATGGGGTTCCTGAATCAAACTATGTCTTTGTTCTCAGCACCTGCCAGAAGGATGTCCCTCACAATGCCATAAGGTGTACAAGCTAAATTTATTTTATTTCACATCTCATAGACACCTCTGCCTTATTAGAGTATCAACCAGCGCCTTCAGCTCTTAAAAAAAAAACCTGCTAACCATTTGACCACCGATGTTTACCACATAAAAAAATATCACTAAAAACACTTGTTTTATCACTGCGATAACTGCTTCAAAGATTTCTACAATAACTTTTGCAATCATAATTTACTCAAACATATCTGCAAGTTAACTCCTTCAGTACCACAGAATACATCTCGCTTTCTGTGGTCACTCTCAAGAAATGCAATGTTGTTGCTGTCTTCTATCTGTCAGTCACTGAATTAACCCTTTGCATGTGAATCATTAGCTGAACTAATTCTGCCCCATGGTATTGTGTGTTGAACTTCTTCAGACCAAAATATTTATTGTTTTTAAGCTCAGATACTTGGGACAGAGGGAGTTAAAGCATCAACTGACGGACTGAAAGAGTCAATAGCTAAAGTTTTTTTTTTAATTTCATTTATGAAAGTTACATATCGGGTATATGATGCTGGAATCATTTTTTTTTTTAAATCGTCTTTTATTTCCAGAAATTTCCAAAATTATTTTGTACCCCTTTTTATGAGACTAAGTTAACCTCAGAGCTGCACTAAATAGAACAAAAAAGTAGTTTGGCCTCTGCTAGGAAATGAACCGGTATCATATTTTTGGTCGATAATTACACTAACTTTTTACACATCTGAGGCAGGGCGTAACCTCTAAGCCACTCAGGCAGGTGGTACCTATGTTTTTAAAAATATCTTACCATTTATTGTGTTTATGTGCTTTCAAGAAACAACTATGTGTGTTGGAAAAGACAGTCTGCATGGTCTGTGGCTCACAGTTTACGTGAAATAACTGGACATATTTGAAATGACTGTAGTGGTAGGACAAATCATATGCTTCCAACTAACTCTCCTTTTAATGACAATTTCCAGGTTACATTGGGCACATTTATAGGATTTCGGTCCCCTTTTTTAAATTTCTATAGTTTTTCAAGGGCCTTTAGTGGCTGTTGCAGTTCCAGGCTTTTCCCGGTTTCAAGGTTTGCTACGAGCCCTGTAAATAATGAAATCTTTTGTCAGATTTTGTTTTCTAGAGATAGTTTACTTACTCCATTTTTGTATCAGTGGGATGTAAGACAGGTGGTGGTATTGGTGCAGGTCTGTGTACATGAAAGCCATCATCGTCATCGTCAGATATGTACAGATCATTCAAGGAGGAGTCTGCTAGACATCAAACAGAAAACAGTGGTAGCTGATTAAAATAAAATAATTTAAATCTACAACACTTCCAAAGTTTCTAAAAGCAGCAGAACAAGAAATGAACCTCTTTAACATCAACAAACAGGTATACACTGGCATCTGCGTCTGTGTTTAAGTGTTGCAAGCGGGTTTCTAAAGGCTGCCGGTTTAAACCCCAGCTGCAGGCGATCTGGCAGCATACCCTCTTGTGATGGTTTTGATAGTGGTATCGAGACCTTACCACTCAGAAGCAATGGCAAACTAATGACTGTGAAGTCACAAACAGTCATAACATATTGGGATTGATTCTGCAATGTCCTGTAAACTTCACTCAATTGCTTGTCTGTGCGCACGCACACACACACAAAAGTTACAGATGCCCAGCTGTGCCCAGGATAGTGAAAGAAAGTTTCATTCTTCCATCCTCTATCCCATCTTGGTCTCATGTGGTTTCAGGGAAGATAGCGAAATATAATTTTTAAAAATTAACTTTTTAGGCATATAATTCCAGCAAAAATTTATTTTTACTGATCACTGTAATAAATAAAAGAAATGAAGAATAACTTGGCTACTAATGTGACACTTAAACTGTGAAGCCATAATGGCAATTGAAGATTTAACCCATGTACTGTTCACAGCCTCAGAGTAGTTAACAGTTCATTTATAATGAACACATAAAATACAGAATGGGTTTGTGATTTATAGAGAGAGAAAGTGTATGCAAGTGCCCGCATGTGTGTGCATGCATGTGCGATCCCTGGCATGCAGAGAAGCAAACAGAGGTGAGAGAACTTCTAAATACTGGAAACATTAAGAGGTACGAGCATATTAATCCAATGAGCTGAACCTCTGCTTAAAAGGTAGTATCTGCACATACTCATGCACCTATTCGTACAAACTTGCATACTATCAAAGTTAGTTGCATTTCCTCTTCGAAGTCTCACAAACCAACCCTGATATTTGTTGGCTATTTGTGGTTTTACTAGACAATTCAGCATGTCCAGTAGAAGAGACAATCGTCATTTCACTGTCAAAAATCAAAGCAAAGTAGTCTGCTGTCAAATTATCTGCAGCTGATTTGCACCCAGCATATCAGAATAACAATACTACAAACTGCATTTACAACTGCTAAGTCACAGATGCCACCTGCAAACACAATTACCCCCTTGTTTCCTTTAAAAAATGCGGTGATGTTGTGAGGGCCTTTTGGGAGCGAGTGAACAGTGCCGAGGCATAGATAGATCATTACGGTCTGAGGAGAATGGCACTGCAAGGAGTTACAAGGGTATCTGGCTGACGCCTGACACCCAGGGGAAAGACAAGATGGATATACAATCAGACAGTTACTGGTACCATCGGAATTTTAACTTTTCGCTTGCTGCTGAAGATGGGGACAGAGCCCTTATGGGGGCGTCCCGAGTGCTGTGATATCAATTCTTAATTCAAAATTTAACTTAAAAAAAAAATCCAATGTGTCTGTTACAAACACACAGACACAACAGATACTCCCTGTGTGGATTCCTGGGCCCCATTCACGGGAGAGAAAAAAAACATACCTACTGTCTCCCTAACAAGCATGTTATAAGATTAGATTACATGGTTGCTTTCTTCGAAGTTGAAGTGCATCTGTCTGAGAGGCAAGGACCAACAATCTGCGTACAAATAAGCCGGATATATAAAATGGATGTGCAAAAAAAATGGATGTGAAAAACGCAAGCTTTGGAACAAGACTAAGTCCAGAGTGGATGAACAACCAGAACTTTCCACAGGAGTTTACAGTCCATGAACACACAGAAAAAGAAGAAGAAGACTATCATCCACACATTAGATCAGCTGGAAGTATTTGTTATCAACAAAGGTTCCAAAACAAAAAAAATTAATTCTCACCGACACCAGCTAGGAGTGAATCTAAGGCTGTCTGTACAGTTCCATATTTTTTAATAGCTGCTTCAGACTGTGACTGTGAAAACCCCATGTCCTGAAACAAATATTTTTATGTAATATTACTTTTTTTTAAAAACATCTTCTTAATATAAGTGAGTGTTGCTGTGGCGTTGGCGGCTAGACCAGGGTCGTGGGTTCACGTCCTGGCGGACACAGATTTTTTTCAAAAATTACTGTGAATCCCAGGTCGACCCAGCCTTAAGTGGTTACCAGGTGCAGTCCTGGGAAGTAAAATGGGCCAGTTGGTGCTGACCACATCACCCACCAAGTGCCGATTGGTCTATACAAATATAGGTCTAGCCTTATATTCCCAATTCATCTAAAGGTGTGGAAAAGGGACCTTCACTTTTTACTTTAATGAGTGACTCTTGCTGGTCACTCTCTACATTGCCATGAGCTGGGATTCCTATTGCTCCCTAAAGAACAATATAACACTATCCCCTGGACAGATGGAAATTTGTCAACATATTTTACGAGGGAAAGTCAATGAGTATTAGGTGATAGCAACATCCAACTTTATGCCTCCACTCTTTAGGTGGCGCTAGGTGTTGCATGGACATTCGCAACACCTAGAATTAAAATGGTGTCTGCACTTATGGAGTGTACCCTTAAGAACAATGTGCTGTTGTGCTCTGCTTTGAGGGGGGCGCAAAAGGGCTGCCTGCAAAGGACATTCATAAGAAAATGCTTCTGTTTATGGTGACAAATGTTAATCCTGTAAAGCCCTGCACAGAAAAGGGAGGCATTTTGCGAATGACGCAGAAGTTGAATGTGAAGTGAAAATGTTTTTTAGAAAACAGAGCACGCAGTTCTATACAGCAGGTTTGTGAAAACTAATAAAATGATGGAAATAGTACATCAATGTTGGTGGAAATTATGTTAAAAAATAAAGAAACAGTGCATGTGTAAAAATAAACGGTTTTCAAGTTGTTATTGCCTCTATTTTTTTGTTTTTTAACAACCATTTGTGATTTACTTATGGACGTCCTCTCATATTTATGACTAAGATACGTGACTCTGTTTAGCAATATATGAAATCCAAAACAATGCTATCCTATTATGAACTTTAACAATGGGGAAATGAAAAATATATTGCCTGGATGCACCTCAGGTGCATTACTACAGAACTTACATCAACATCTAACAAAGCACAAAACAAAAATATGAAATCTGAATTCTTTCAGTACCAAACGATACACTATGTGTGACCAGAATGGACTCCAGTGCATCAGTTCATCAGACATGTTATAGATGTCTGTATATCTTATATTTAGTCTGGGCATACAACAATTTTTCTATTGCTCTCCCTCTATGTGTAGATTCCGGGGTCCAATTTTAGGAGACAAAGAATAAAGCCACTGCCTCCCTACAAGCATGTCGTAAACTAGGGATTTTTACACCAAAGTTGGAGCACATCTGCCTGAGAGACGAGGAACCAGTTGTCTGCATTCAGGTAAGCCAGAACTGTAAAACAGATGTGAATGTAGAATTCAGGTTCTGGAAGTTGACGGGGGTCTAGAAGTGGATGAAAAACAGCTTTCCGGTGGAGTTCACAGCTGGTAAGCACTAATAAAAGACTCAAACATTGTGTTGCGTATTTAGCCCATGTGGATGTAGTAGATGATTTTATTATTTAAGTACTGCCTCAATCAGATATTAGCTATAACCTTACAAAAACAATTACAAACATGGGCAGGGGGTTTGAGGGGAAGGGAAAGCCCTGCAAGCTCACCTGTGTATACTTCCCAGAACATTTTTGGTACTCATTTTAGGCTGTCAAACTGGGAGCCACAGGTCAATTATAAAAACCAGCCCCAATGAGGATTCAAACCAAAGACCTTTAGACCATCAGGCACTACCATAGACCCCAGTTTAACTAGGGTTACACCCCAAAAAAATCCCCAGTGGGTTCTTGGGTCAATTTTTTTTTGCACGGGAAGGGGGGCACTGCTCAATCAAGATGATTAATCAGGGGCCGATTCTTCGAGGTCGGTCTCCTCTGCCTGAGAGGCAGGGAATCAGCAGTCTGCATACAGACAAGTCAGATCTGTAAAACAGAGGCACATGCAAAATTAAAGTTAGATCTGAAAAAACAGATGCATATGCAAATTTAAAATTCTGGAATAAAACCAGAAGTCCAGAAGTAGACCAGAAAAACTCTGCTTGAGTTTACAGCCAAAGACAGCAAAGAATAAGATCTTGAGATATTTATATACAAATAAGAGAAATAACAGTATACAGAAACTACATGAGACTTACCATTAACTGATGAGTTTTTACTCTCAGCAGTTCCGCATGAGCATCATCACAATTCTTATCTAGTTTTAAAACCTGCATGAAAGCTGTCTCTGCTTCAACATACATCTGCAACGTAAGAAAATGGGCACTAATTTTTAACGGTGCATGTTTCAGACAAATTCTTAACATATACAGAGACCACATTACAAATGAAGAGGATTTACAGTCAGGTTACAGAAAACAAAACTGACTGACTGGACTAAACCTCAGGCATGCAGCCATAGAGGGAAAAGTCCATCGCAATTGACCGCCTCCATGCAATAAAGTGGTCGCAAGAGCCAAATGTGGAGAGAGCTGATCAGACAGTCAACAGAAACTGGTGACCCAACATCACATAGTGTTACGGGATGATGATGATGATGATGCTGATGAAGAAGGAATATACATATACACATCTCAAACCCTTCCACATGGTCATGTGCATGATCATACACTGAAATATTATTCTGCTCCCAGAACAGCAAATAAGTAACAGCAATTCCAAGAAAGTGGTGCTTAACAGACAACACTATAGAAAAAATCCAAGCATACCTATACTGCAAATGTAAGAAAACAGTAAAATATGAACCAATGCACTGTAAAACATGAGGTACAAAATCAACAGTTCTAAGAGAATAATATAAAATGAACAGCAATTATTGAAGAACAACATATTTTTTTAATAGTGCAAAATAATAGAAGACACCCAACCCCCAGATGTGTACAATTTTCCTTTTAGATAATTGTTTTGTGGTGAATAGTATTCCTTTAAACAAGAATAAAATAAAACACATAGTAAATCTAATCATACAAGAAAAACCTTTAACAATATAGCAGAAGGCAAACATCTTACTTAAACCACAGCTTACTTTTAAACCAGCTAATGCTCTCCCTTGCCTGAAGTACCCTTTAGGCCATTCCTTGTCTAATTTTATTGCCCGTTCTGCATCTCTCAAGGCTCTGAAAGAAGAAAAAAAAACACCTCTAATCAGTACTGTATTATGTATGCTCATTTTAAAACTTGAAGCCAAGAAGTCATATGTGCATTTATAACTATGTACGTGCATTCAGTTTTTCTTTCACAAAAGGATGAGCAAACTATTTTCAATGTGTTCAGAACTGAGCACCCAGGCCCAATTACCTTTCTCACCTCACATATTTCAAAAATTATTTCATTCATATATCGTGTAAGAGAAAATCTTTTAAAAAAAACATGAACACATTTATCAATTTCAAATGCTTGGACTGCATAGATTATCCTTACATAATTAATTATTTCTAATTATTAGAATGCACATTTTAGTAGTGCTTAGTTAATCATCTTTTTCTTCGCATTTACAGGCTGTAAACTACTGCGGAAAGTTCTGGTTGTTCATCCACCTCTGGACTTTAGTCTTGTTCCATGACCTGACTATTGTTTGCACATCCATTTGACAGATCTGACTTTTGTGTTTGCAGGTTGTTAGTTCCTTGCCTCTCAGGCAGGTGCACTCCAACTTCGAAAGAGGCTCCCAGTTAGAAGACTCTTACAACATGCTTGTTAGGTAGGCAGTGGGTCCATTCTCTTTGTCCCCACAATGGAGTCACAGAACCCACAGTTAATTATAATTTTAGTATTGTTTCTGTTAATTATGAACCAGAATAAAATAGACAAATAAATGCATAAGATACTAGGAACTGACACTTTATGGGTAATGAGGTCACTATTGTACTGACTCCCTTTACTTCCTGAGAATTTTCGGGTACCCAGTATTCGACTAGGCTGACATGGAAGCCCAAATCAGTTTTTAAAACCTGCTATGATGTGATTTCAAACCTAGGAAGACTAAACGACAGTTTAGATATAGTTAAGCAGGACAGTGGTTAAAGATATGGTGCTAGTTTGGGTAAAGCACAGCAGTAATAATCTGAACTGTGCGAATGTCAAAACCTAAAGCATGATTTCAAAATAAAATGGCTGAAGATTTGGTGCTAGTGTGGGTAAAGCATAGTAATAATCTTGTGTGAATGTCAAACCTTAAGCGTGATTTCAAAATAAAATGGTTGAAGATTTGGTGCTAGTGTGGGTAAAGCACAGTAATAATCTTGTGTGAATGTCAAACCTTAAGCGTGATTTCAAAATAAAATGGTTGAAGATTTGGTGCTAGTGTGGGTAAAGCACAGTAATAATCTTGTGCGAATGTCAAACCTTAAGCGTGATTTCAAAATGAAATATTACAAGTAATATAAATAATGTGTGTGTCTGGCTTTAGGGGTTAGGAACTTCTTTCATCATTCAGCCATACCGGGTTCCATTCATTTGCAGGCGATCAGGTAGAAGGCCACTTTGCAATGGCTTCAATATTAATGGTGTGACCATCGACCATTTAGCAAGCATTGGGAACTAATAAACATAAAATTGTCTAGTGAAACCACAAACAGCCAACAAATGTGATTAATTTCAACATCCTGTAAAGGATATGCAACAACACCCTGTAAAAGATATGCAACAATACCCTGTAAAGGATATACAACAACACCCTGTAAAGGATTTACAACAACACCCTGTAAAAGATATACAACAACACTCTGTAAAAGATATGCAACAATACCCTGTAAAGGATATGCAACAACACCCTGTAAAGGATATGCAACAATACCATGGAAAAGGATATGCAACAACACACTGTAAAGCATATGCAACAACACCCTGTAAAGGATATGCAACAACACCCTGTAAAGGATATGCAACACCCTGTAAAAGATATGCAACAATACCCTGTAAAGGATATGCAACAACACCCTGTAAAGGATATGCAACAATACCATGGAAAAGGATATGCAACAACACACTGTAAAGCATATGCAACAACACCCTGTAAAGGATATGCAACACCCTGTAAAGGATATGCAACACCCTGTAAAGGATATGCAACAACACCCTGTAAAGGATATGCAACAACACCCTGTAAAGGATATATGCAACAACACCCTGTAAAGGATATGCAACAACACCCTGTAAAGGATATGCAACAACACCCTGTAAAGGATATATGCAACAACACCATGTAAAGGATATATGCAACAACACCCTGTAAAGCTGGATGTGTCAGCCGAAAAACACAAATACTGCAGCCATGTTGCAAACAAGCACTTTGTATTTACATCTTCGGATGAATGCAGAAAGAGAAGCAGATACCCTTGTTACAATGCAAACAATTAAAATTTAAAAAATAATCATCAACTAACACAAATGACCTGGCGTAAATAGCACATAAATGGTATCTAATGTCTTCACTTACCTATCATATTGTTCTATCCTATCATAACAGTAAGATCTATTTCCAAAAAACCTGCAATAAGAAACACAGCACATATTATGTCTAGAAAAAGTTCAGTAAATGCATGCTAGTCAACACAAACATATAAACAAACTGCCACTGGTACCACTGAAACTGGAACTGGCTGCTGAATGTGGAAACAGCCTACTTGTGGCAATGCTCAGAGTTCTGTGACGTCAATTCTAAACTAAACTAAACTCGTTAACTCTTTCGGTATCAGAGGTCATTGATAAATAAACACATGATGTGTTCCTTGGTACTCTAAGAGTTAAATGCAGAAAAGGAGATTATTTCACAGCCTTCTATTAGTAAAGGAGTTTCTTTATCGTGACTAGCAGGCTGGCTGTTGACCCAGTGGTGCTGGGTTCAAATTCCATCAAGATGGGTTTTGCCAAGATCAGATGGCTCCCAGGTCAACCCTCATTCTTCTTCAGCATTCCAAGCCCTTGAGGTTCATTGCTGCAGACATCACCCGCCTCAATTCATCTCTCTGGTTGGCTTTCTCTTTCCAGTTGGTGACACCAAGTGTTTGCAGGACTGTCTCGATATTATCTCTCCATCACCTTCTTGGTCTGCTTCGTGGTCTACGACCATTCATCTCTTTCATGTACATAGTTTTTACTTCTCTGTCCTCTGACATTCTTTAAATACGCCCCAACCATTTCAGTCTATTGGTAAAGTGGGTTAGCCATTTGCCTTGCGCTCTGATATCCATGGGTTCATATCACAAATGAAATGCATATGCAGATCTCCGGGGATTGCTGCTGGGGCTAAGGAATTGTGTTTCATGTGGTGCTCTTAGCAGGTAGCTAGACGATAAAACCCAGTGAAATGAAGTTGATCCTCCTGATCTTTTTAATTTTAACTCTAGTTGTACATAATGTCCAACTTTCATTAGCTTTTTTTTTTCCAGGCATCTTACTGTCCAAAAGATCCACAACATTCATCTTTAAAAAAATTTCAACAGAAAAAGTGGAAACACTTTTCTGCTGCCTTCAAGTTCTTCCTAATTTGTTCATTTGCATAATAAAATTCACTACCATACATCAGAAGTATAACAGACATTACTTAAACAAGAAAAGTGAAACCTTTTTAACCGTTTCATTTTTTAAACTTACCGAAAATCTGTTTGGTCTAAATTAATTGCTTCAGTAAACAATTGTATAGCTGCTGTGTATTCTTCAACTTGAGCCATTTCATTTCCACGAACTGGAAAAACAAGTATAAATTTGCAAATTAAACAGGAAAAAGGAAGTTTTGTCTTCCCAAATTACAAAAGAAAAACTGATGCTGCAAAAAAAATAAACCTAAACAAAAATATTTTCTCAAATGTTACCCAAAAAAATACAAATATTCTGTCTCAAACTGACTCATTACATATCATCAAATCTTATACTGATTGGAACAAACTATCATATTCAGTTTGGGAAACAGAAATCATGTGTAATCCAAACAAAGGCAATATTTCATCAAATGAAGAACATTCAGCTCTCCTTTCAACTTCAGCCGGTAGACACACATCGACGGCCAGTTAGTCAAGTTATGTCCCCTTGCTACAGTGCAATTACGGACTGGAGACGGCACGAATCAAACAACACAGTGAGGTCGACATGCAGCCCCGCGCTGCCACTTAAATTAGCGACCGCGTTCAATTACCGCTTCTTCCGACGCATTACAAAGTGGACTAGAGGGAACGAGACAAGTGACATAGTTACTGTGTGTCGGCAATAGACAGCGTGCAGTGCCCTAGGGTTAGGGTTAGGGGTAGGGAAGGGGTAGGTTTAGGGTTAGGGTTTGGGTTAAGGTTAGGGGTAGAGGTAGGGTTTGGGTTGCTACTATGAGTTTGTGCGAAGACGAGATGCGGCGATAGTAACCTTAACCCACACCCTAAACCTAATCCTAACGCTAAACCAAACCCTAACCCTACCCCTAAACCAAACCCTAACCCTAACAGTAACCCAAACCGTAACCGTATGCTGTCTATTGGCAACACACAGTAATTATGTCATTTGTTTCGTTCCCTCCTGTCCAGTCCGTAATTGCACTGTAGCAAGGGGACATAACTCTGACTAACCGGCTGTCGATGTTTGTCTACCGGCCGCAGTTGAAAGGGGAGCCGAACATTCTTTGCAACTGGTCTTTGACCACGGAGGTTAGAAACTGGGTTTCAGGGTGTTATATGGTCCAGAGATTGTTGCTGCAATACGGAAGATTCAAGGTTTTGTAGACAGTGATTCAACTTACTAGGAGGACAGATTTTTTTTAGGAGGAACATGACCACCTGCGCTGCTAGGCACGGCACATGAAGCTGAACCAGTCTTCTTCTTCTTTTTTTTCTTTTTCCCAGGGGGTCTCGGGCATGATGTCCGCCTCGAGTGCTGGAGATCCCGGTTTCAGGTCCCGGTGAAGGCTGGTATTTTCCACGAGGAATTCTAGTAATTTTTCCTGATCAATGGGTAGTAAGATCGGAGGCCCGTGTGTATTTTTCCGCACATACAAAATCGCTTGGCAGCTAGAAATCGAAACAAGTAGCCTAACGGCTCTGCCTGGTAAAAAAATTGGGATTTAAAAATCCAAGTGTTTCAGGATCCTCGCAGGTGCTAAAGGGTTCATGCAGTGTGTTGTGATTCTTCGGGCTCAGGCTTGAGTTAGAAGTAGAACAGAGCACTTATGGATTACTACATGTATGCCATGACGTTAATTCGTTGTTTAAACCTAAATCTATCTCTTCTTTTCTCCTGTGTTCATCCTCAAAAGGGTGGCTAGTAAACTGTAGTTTACAGCTAGGCTGCAAAATTTGCACCTTCCAGCCAAACATAGGTAAGCAACGTTCTGTAAAGAATATGCAACTAGCTTTGATGTAGTTTACTCAAATGTAAGTAGTCTACAGTCTATAAGCAGATCATCCTTCTTTTTCCGTTTAAATGATACTTACTTGCTAGCTGCCTGCTACGAAGAACCTTGGGATCAATAGCTTCCTCTGTCTAAAAAATACAAATTAAAATTAAAATATTTATTGCAAGCGTAAAAACTCCTCTAAAACATTTTTTATTTTACTTAACAAACAAAAAAAAAACTAAATTCCCTCCCACAACAGTAAATTTTCAATAAAACTGCTAACTGTTTGATAGTCTTCCGGTTTCAAACTGTTGAACTGGATTGTCGCTGTCGTACAGCGGCTAGATGCTCGCCTACAGATCAGATGGTAATAGTTTCATGTCCTAGCGGAAGACTTAAAAAAAATGACATAGGCTCCCAGTCTTGAGTGGATACCGTGTAAAGTCATGTGAAGTAATGGCGGCTGACTTGATGCTGATCATATCACCCATCAAATGCCGATTCGTCAATAAAATATAGGTCTAGCCCTATATGCCCCAAAAACCTGATAGGGAAAAGGGTCTTTACATTTTACTAAACCCGTGTGCCTAGTGCTTAAGCACATGCCATTTATTTCTGCAGCCTTAAAAATACACGTGGCATACACCAAGGATTGAACCAAGTGGTTGGTTGCTCATGAGTCCTCTGAAAGACAGGAGTTTTAATTCTCATTACAGTCTGGAGAGAATGATGCCAAGGAGAGTGACCGGGGATCTGGCTGACATCAACACTCAGAGAAAAAGGCAAGACAGAGATACAATCAGACTGTTTTTGGTACTACCAGAAGTGGAACTCTGCAATGGCTGCTGAAGATGAGGACAAAGTGCACATGGGAATGTCCAGAGCGCTGTGATGTTAGTTCTTGACTAAACTCTAAATTCCAATGCACTTGCATTCGGCTAATCCAAGCTCTGAAAAGACTGCATCTATCATCAGTGTGAGGCTGTTATGGAGACTTTAATTCCTGATCCAGGTCCACAAGTACTGTCTTCAAGGGGACTGTGTTGCAGAGCTCTTCAAGCCCAGGAACCAGCAGGATGTTCAAGACTGGCACCAAAAGTTCATATAAAGCAGTGTTATAACAGCATGTGGGTGTTTTGGTCAGCTTTGCACTGGCAACCTTCACTTACTTAACAGAATATTTTCTTTGTATCTATTTCGACCTATAAGACCATGGTAATTTTTTTTTTTAATCCTATCTGGCACAAATTTGAACCCAAGACCTTTAAATAAGTGCTAGCACTGCACCACTATTGCTTAGAATAGTTGTTACTTCAACCCAGTGCTGGATTTAGGCATAAGCTAACTAAGCCGCAGCCTACGGCCCTACAGTCTGCAGAGGCCTCAACAAATTCCTTCTTTTTTTAGTTTTTGTTAAAAAATACACAAATACAATTTTCTTTCAATACAGACTTTATATTATTTCTGTGATTCTTCAGACACATTTTTTTTTGCTGTTATTTTTTTTAACTAATAAATAAAACGACAATATATTTTTATCACCCACATATTTAAGATGTGTGTATAGTTTAAAGCTTTTGTGTGATTAGCTGGTGTAATTTAAAACAGTAGGGGTCTCAGAGAGCTTTATATAGCTCAAGTTCTCATCACATTTAACTGTGGCCCTGCTTAAACCTGTTCTATTCCCAGATATCGAGTTTAAATTCAATAAATCTGCTGGTTTTTTTTTAAGTTAAACAGGAAACACTGTAGGGACAGATGTAGTCATAATAATAATTCAGTTACTTCCTGTGTGAGTCCCGGGCCCCATTGTGGGGAAAAAGAATAGACCCACTGCCTATCCAACATGCATGATGTAAGTGTTGGCTAATTGTGGGTTTTCTTCAAAGTCAGAGTGCATCTGCCTGAGAGGCAAGGAACCAAAAGTCTGCATACAAAAAAGTTAGATCTGTAAAATGGAAGTGCATGCAACATTCAGGTTCTGGAACAAGTCTAAAGTTCAGAGGTTGGTGAAAGACCAAATCTTTCCTCCTGAGTTACAGCCAGCGAACACAAAGAAGAAGAATTCTGCTACAAATGGTTGACATCATATGCGTCTGTCATAGACAAGAGCCAGAGCATCAATCTATCCTCAGAACGGCCAAGAAACATAAAGTGAGTTGTTTGGCCCTGAAAGAGTTGAAACTCCATAATTTCTCAATACATCATGTAGATGCATACATAGGTAAAGTAAAGTAAAGGTGCCTTTTCCACGCCTTTAGACGTATTGGGAATATAGGGCTAGACCTCTATTTTTATTGACCAATTGGCACTTGGTGGGTGATATGGTCAGCATTACGCCGTCCACCTTTACTTCTCAGTAATGCACCTGGTAATCCACCCAAGGTTGGGTCAACCTGGAAGTCACAGTCATTTTTTTTAAATAAGTCCAGCTCTGTCAGGGCACAAATCCACCACAACCCAATCTGCAGACGGGTGTCTAGCCGCCAAAGCCACAGCGATAGATATACATACACACATACAAATATGACACATACATTTCTGATCTCATCATCACTGCGTTTGTCCTCAGGCTGCTCCTTGGTTCCTAACTGAAGCTGATCTCCTCCTGGCCCATTCTTTCTCTTCTTACTCAGAACTTTGGTGAAGAACGCAGACTTTGGATCAAACAACTGCAATGCACAAAAGCTTGAAAATAGCTTGAATAAAATCATGATTTCCGCTTTGCATTAGTGTAAAATGTGTACAAACGACAGACTGTAAAACACTTTTCTTTTTAATTTTCAACTAGCGAGCAGAATGGTATCAGATCTCAGTGATTTGATATACGGGTGTTCTGTTGTGATATACTCTTCATAGAACCATAATCTGGAGAGCTCATCTAGGTAAAGATCCGACATCACAGCATGCAGGACAAGCCCATATTAGTTCCATCTCCCTCCTCAACAGACAGCGAAGAGTTTCCAAACTGATGGCAGCCATTGTCATCTGGTTAACTACTCATCCTGTCTTCCCTCTCTGTCTCAGGTGGCATTCAGAGCCCACAGCCACTCCTCGCTGCATCATTCTCTCCAAGTATGACTGGCACCTTTCCGTCTTTCCAGACGATAGTGTTATATTGTGCTATGAGACTCACAGCCCATGGCGATGGCAAGTGTGACTAACAAGACCTGCCCGTGTCAAGAAGAGTCTTCTAATATTGGGTTTTTTAAGGCCTCAGGGAATGTTTTCTCTTAATCTTCACTGTGTTCATGTTTACTGATTACCCCTTTATATACCTTTTACATTTCAAAAACAAAAATTTAAAATGCAGATGAATATTTTTTTCTCATTTATTAGCGACCTGTGTAATGTTTTTTAAAGGATTTTTTTCCGGAAATCTCTGCAGGTCCACAACAAATTTTTTTTTTTGTTTTTTGGATGTGCATTAGCGGGGTGAAAAGGGTTTTAATGTACCTTATACAGGATTACTCAGACATAGTAGATGTACCTGACAATGACTGCTAACAATATGTACTTTTATAAAGTAATCTATAGCAACAAGTGAAGACCAATAGAATCACTAAGTCTCTCTCACACACAAATAAGTGAGAGAAAAATCAGGTACAAATGTGTCAGAGGAAGGTGATTCTAAATGGAAATGAAATCTGAAGGACACAGAAAAATAAAAGTATAACAGAAAAAGAAATAGACAAAGATATAAAGGCAAGGAAATTACAAGACTTGCAGTAACAAGGTTAGAAGAGAAGGGAAAAGAGTAAGAATTAAAGCAACAAAAAAAGAATGAGGAAAAAAAACAAATTCTGTTTTGCAAAGCTAATTATTTACTACATCCAGTTTGTCAATGCCTGAGATTTCACAGAAAAACAATGAATACTTACTGTGTCATCCTCTGATGAAGAAGATTCTCTATAAAGAAAACAAAAAAATAGTTGAAGCCAAATACAGTTGAAGAACACGACAATTATGTCAAAATTATGTCACCCTTGTTGTGTCATAATATGTCACATACGCTTGCAGTCTATTCCTTCATTTCATTAGATTCTGTGCAATCATTTTGATATCACAGATACAGTCCAGTTAAGCACTTTTGTCCTGTCTCACCAACGTTCATATTTGGGTTTTTCTTGGACAACCTTGTTTCTTAAATCCACTTATTTCCCTTTTAATCGCCTGTTTGTTTATTATTTGCTTGTTTCTTCTTAGGATGTGCTCAATATAATGACATCTTGTAACTGTTGACACTAGTAATTGTCCCTATAACTGTCCGGACATCTCTCTTATTTCTTCACCCTTCTTGAATTCCTTCAAATCAATGGTTATCAGTTTCTCAAGGCACTGTTTTTTGAATGCTTTTAAACTGTTCCATGTCTTTAGTGGTTCTATAATCTTCATTAGCACATGTTATCACTAAAAAAACATTAGAACTGAAAATTTAAAACTATATTTTTTTAAATAGCTAAAGACATTACATTATGTTTTACTGTTATGAATAGAGTAGTAATTAAACAACTTGAAAAAATATTTTACGTTAACAAAAATACTTAATAAATTAATAACAACAAACATCAAAGTAAAACTAAGATAAAAGAGAATGTAAGTGAAAAATAAATCCCACAGAAACATCACCTTTATCAAAATCGTTTGTGTCAATGGTACATATCAGAAGATTGATTCAAATGCTATCTAACTGTCTACTCTTGGCAGCTCCATGTTATTCTTATGAAGAACTGACAAGTTCTAATTTATTTTACAATACAATTCAAGGCTTGAAACAAATACAAACTAGAATCTTAACTTAATACAACATTTAGACATCACTGATGTCTCCTTGAGTGGCTACTATCGAACTATTAGATTACAGGAAAGTCTTGGTAGGTTACATGGAAGTCTATTCAGCAATTGCTTATTTTAATAAAAAACATAATTAAACCCTAAAAACAAGAAACTGAAATTATTAAAGAGAAACAGCGCATTTCTTCATGGAAACAAATCTATTAACTCCACAAACCATTCAGGGTCACATAAGGAATGGCCATTGAAGAAATTCATATCATCTCTGCTCTGACTTCTCCAGCTGATATACATAGATGGGTTCATCTACAAAGACATAAGAATGCATGGGCATTTACAGCTCTCTCTGACAGCAGAACAGTCCAAGAAGCCAGCGTAAGCTTTCATGTGGCTAAAATCACCGGACTATTTCCACACGTGTGTTGAGTGATTCTATGAGCATGATCCGGCAGCCCAATGCAGGCTCCATATGCAGACAGTGGATTGATTCAGTGCAAAAGTCTCTTGTGTGTGCAGTTACTTTAATATTTACCCCAGGGCATGCAGGTGTTGTTGCCAATGAAAGAGCTGACAGATTGCCAATGTCTTTAGAGAGAAAGGATGTTCCGAGGATTGTGGAAGCAATGTGTCTTCATCACTGCTAAAAATTCAAGAATGAGAGCTAAGATTGGCACAGCCAAGCATGTGAGGCATACCGGACGCACAAGAATTCTTGTCAGCCAGCATAGGATTGGCACTATTAACCACGTGACACTGATGAATATGTTGAAGGGGGAATCTGAGCACCTGTGGATGCATCTGAAGTGTTGTGAAAATAAGCCAACTCATAATTCATTAATTTCTCCCACAGAACATATTATGTTTTCAAATCATAACTGAAACCCCTGTTGTAGTGTGTCCTAACAGCGACACATATATAGTGTCAAGAGATATATAGTGGAAGCAGAGATGAAGGAAAAACTATACAGCTGCTCAGAGATAGGAAACTATGAAATTTATTCTGATTAGCGGAAGGATTAAAAAAAAAAAGAAGAACATGCTGAAGCAGAAGATAGAGGCAGGATTAATTAGCAGAATGAGGTGGTCGTGAAATAGATGAAGAAGGAGCAGCAGAAGCAACCCAAAAAAATTATGAAGTAGAAAGGCAGAAAGAGGTAGTGGTAAATGAGGCAGAGAAAAAACTGGCTGCAAAAGAAGGGAATAAGAGAAGTAATGACAGTAGGAGACAGAAGAATAGGAGTAGCAGCAAAATCAAGGAAGAAGATAAAGAGTAATAGCAGAAGGAAATTGTGGTTAATGGGGAGGAAAAGCAGCAGTAGAAGCAGGGAACAGAGATGTAAGTAATCATAGTAGGAGGTGGTATGGTGAAGAAGGAAGAGAAGGAGTTACCGCAACTATTAAAACAAACAAAACTCAACAATTACCACAAAGACATGAATTATTAGAGCTAATTCACCAAATGGTAACATTTTCAAAAACATAATTAAACACAAACTTACTGTACAACAGCTGTTGTTTCATGACACAATGACTTTTTCTCCTTTTTGCTTTTACTTGTGCCATTCTGAAAATACAGAAATTATTACAATGACATGAGTTAAAATCACAAGAACCTTAAAGAACCTATACAATAGCATTCAGAACATTTCAACATGCAACTTCACCCCCCCCCCCCCCCCCCACCCCCCACAACTTTTCTCCCCTTCCATCTTTAGCAGCCAGCACAGTGTTACAAGTTCTATGACACTGGTAGCTTTATCTGTCTGTCTTACCTTTTCCCTTAGTGTTGTGTTTCAGCCAGATCCCCTAGTCACTCCACACTGCAGAATTCTCTGCAGACTGTGATACTCAATTTGTGCATTCCACACTGTTCACTTCTCCCAAAGAAATTAAAATGATTCAGCTTACTCAAATAATTACATGCAACTGTCAAGAAGAGTTTGGAGGCAACTGAGATGTGGTTTTTCAGAAGAATGTTGAGAATACCTTGGGCTGTCAAAATAACCCACATTAAATGCCTGGAAATGGCAAATGAAAGTAGAAAATGATATACAACAATGAGACAAAGTTATTTGTTCTTGTAATGAGAAAAAAAAAAGCGGGAAAATATTGTGACAAATGGAAAGATCACTGGGAGAAGAGGTAGAGGCAGACCAAGATAAATTATGGTGGATGGCTTAAGACAGAGGGTGGCATGGAGGGATATCAGCAGTAGACTAGAATACTAAAGACCAAGATCTGTGGCGACGCATGAACGTCTACGCCAGCTGGCAAGGCACTTGATGATAATGATCGGTCAATACAGGAGGGCAGATTAAATAAGTTATAAAATGATAGGGTTGGGGGAGAGAAAGAGACAATAATGATAACTTTTGGTTTTTAAAGGCGTTCTTTAGGTTCAGAATAATCTAGAACTTTGAATAACATAGGTAGTAGACTGCTAATTGTCGCAAAAAATGTCCAGGCTTACTTTTGAGAAGCACATATAGCTAAAAATAACCCAGAATTAACCAAGCCCAACACCACTCTTCCTACAGTGACCCATACAACTGGTAATCAAACCCTAAATGAATGAATTTATAAAAGTATTTTTTAAAACATGCGAAACTCACTGGATCTTTCACAGATCAACTGTAAAATTAATCTGAAAACAATATTTAACCGACATATCTATAGAATTGTAAAAAAAAAAAAAAATTGTCTTTACATAACAACAGGCTTATGTTTCAATGATGACATTCAGTCTGACTGAAGAATAAAACAAACAGGTCAATTCTAAATGGAAATATACCATTTTGTTGTGCATTGGTTCTTTTGAAGGAGACAATGTTCAAAACATAAAGAGACGTAAGAGGAGTTCAACTTACTGACTTCTGTTCCTTCTCAAGTCGTTTTCTTTCCCTCTGTCTCTAAAATGAACAAGAAGATATAAACATGTCAAAATAATACCATTACAATATTTTGTGTAATCAATGGTGTCTATCAGATGAGTTTTAAAAAGAGGTTTGAGAATTTACTTTCATTTGCCAAGGTTGTCGCCACACAGTGCAGTGGTTTTGAGGTTTTGAACAACGGGTCAACATCATGGCACATGGGTAGTAACCCATAAGTGCTCTGTTCTTCTTCTAACTCAAGTCTAAGTCCAAATACGCTCAGCACAGTGCACAGGCTCTGTAGCATCGTCAAGGATCCTGAAATACTTGGGTAGATTTTTAACTCAAAATTTTGCCCGGGCAGCGTGTTTACGCTACTCTTTTCGATTTCCAACTGCCTATAGATTTTTTTTTACATGCTCAACAATGCACACGGGCATCCGATCTCACTACCCAAAGACCAGGGGGGATTATTAGAAGTCCCAAGTCCATGTGAAAAAATCCCAGCTCTTACTGGTGATTGAACCTGGAGCCTCTAGCACTCAAGGTGGACACCATGCCTCGAGACCAAGTAGCCCCCTCCACAGGGCAAAGCCTGCCAATTTTATATCACTTGTAATAGAATTGTCTTGCTCTATAATAAAATATGTCCTTAAGTGTGGCTCCGAGAAACTGTAAAACCAACACTCTGATTGGGTCCCAGTTCCCCTTAGATGTCAGTTGCTGACTTATCTACAGTGAGACTTGTTTACAAAGTGGCTGCTTTCATGCGTGTCCAAATGTTAAGGTCAGAATATTAATATATTAGTTAAATCTTTTTAACAATATATTAGTTAAAATTGATTTTGTGGTGTTTTTTTGTGAACCCAAAAGCTTTATAACAGCCAAGTTGACATCAAATTTTCTCGAAAGCCTCAGTGACAGAGGTCTGGCTATGAGTCAGCCGACTCATTTAATGCCTCACCCAGTTCGTGTTTAATTATTACTCCCTATGTTTATATTTTTCAAGGGAAAACATACAAAATGTAGATAAAACGTAAAAAGTTATTTGCTAGTGACCTATGTGAAATATTTTTTTTTTTAATTTGGAATTAACACAGAGTCATGACCCATTTATTTTTTAAACTGCTCCTGGGGCGACAAGATTATTAGAAACTAGCTTTTTTACCCTGAGCCCACATGAAGAACTCCTAAGTCTTAGGACAAACTGGGTATATGGTGCCACCCCAAAATTATATAGACCAACTGGCATTCCATGAGTGAGTGGTCAATCTTTGTGCTTTACTTTTTCTAGTATTCATTTCCGTACTGGGTGTACTAGGCAGGTCAGGACTTTTTAAAAATATACAAACTTAACTTTTATAATGATTCGAACAAGTAGCCTCCAGTCTGACAGGCAAACATACTAGACAGAACATTTTAATGTAAGGCATCTGTATCCTAACTGTTCAGAAATCTGCTCCTCAAATTTGCAAAAAAACTGCCAAAAATATGAACATACTTAAACCCTATGGAAAAGATCAGCTGCGGACTGACTCCTTTGGAGGCAGACAGTGAAAGACAGACTGTTAGAGTTTGAAAGAGGCCAAACACAGTAAGCTATAGAGAGGAGACGTCTGAGAGAAAACCAGCTTCAGCATGACATAGTATTCATGTTTTTATGTGGACTATGAGGCAGAGACTGCCATTCCCATATTTGACTACAGTCATAGCAGCCGCTGTTCGCAAAACCAGCTGGATAAATCCAATGATTATAGAGACTGATGGTTGCCTCCCATTACATCAATGAAGAAAACACAGCAGTGCACTCGTCTGTCAGCCTGATGAGTTTAGATACCATTAATGCAGCCCATCTTTCTAATTACATGTTTGCAAGGATTATTTACTTCAGCTTTCAACAACTTATGTCAAGCCTTTTGTCAATTACCTAGTTGCATATGGTTTACTAGATGCCACAAATCCAAGCATTTGTTGACTGTTTGTGGTTTACTAGACATTTTTCCCCCGGTAGTTTGCCATCTTTGAGATCACACATCTTTCTCATGGCAACTCATGTATGTGAGTTATGGATTCTTAATCTTTGCAGAAGAAAAACTGGAACTGTTAAATAGAAATGCTACAGAAAAATTCTTCGAATAGCGTGGACCAGAAGAAGAAAAACACTGACATCCTACATGATCCAACATCAAGAATAACTAACTGGTCATAAACAGAATCCTGTCCCAGAAGCTGAGATATTTTGGTCATGTTGAGCAGCATGATGATCTGGAGAAAACAGTGATGGAAAGGCAGCTAGAGACTTTCAGGCGTGCTGTGAAGACAGCAATGTTCTGTAAAGGACCAGCAGATTGGTCAGTTTGCCAGTGCTTTCTAAACGGTCAGCACTCCAAACCATGGTCAAAATAGAGGGCTGTTAAAATACAAAGCGGTTCACTACCAAATTGCCATAGCTGGAATCAAACTGTGTACACTGGAGTTATAAACAGTGGTTGTAGCCCCTACCTAAGCCGCAGATGCCAACTTTGTAAACATGTCCATAATTACGTGGAATCTATAATCTTCTACAGTAAGTTAGTGTATTTTCTCACTGCATACTGGACAAGTCCAAAAACGCTTGGATCCCATCTTCAGTATATCCCTCAGCGTGTGGCGACTGACAACACCAGTTCTGTGTTGGTTTACTATTCTTCTTTGGCTACCTGTATACTGTTCATGTTTGGCAGGGATTAAAGAGTATCTTCTAAGTGATAAGGAAGCTTCTTTAAATTCCCTGGTAACATGCAGACTGATCTAGCTCCATAAAGTGGGCATTAGAGTATTTTCTTTTCTCAGTGTCAAGGCAGTGTGAGTGTTACTGACTAAGCCATAAGTCAAATGCTTGTTGGTCCACAAAGCATGGACCCAGTATAAAATCCCCAGTACATTAACTGTCATACTCTTACCTTTTAGCTCATATTTAATAGACATAACCATTTTTCTGGAAAGATACTATAATCAGCGATGATCTTTTTTTATACTACAGCAAGCACCATTCAGTATAACCAGAGGTCAGTTGCATTGTAAACTCAGTTTTGTTGATAACTTTGATAATTAACACCAGAAAACAAAGCAGTATATATTAAAGCATGCTTACGTTTAATAAAGATTAGAAATAAAGAAATAACGACATAGTATAGCAAAGATTTTGTATTTCATTAAGGTGGAATAAAATGACAGAAAAGAAGTAGTACTGAGTCCTTCTGGATCTAACCAAAAAAATGAAAAGCACAATTAAACGTTACTTATAACATATGTGTTATAATACATATAAGAACATTAGAATATATATTATAATATTATAAAACATATTTGACATTCAAATATATAATTTGACATTGTAATATATAGTAGAAATTAAAAATATATATATTAGAACATAATATATATTATAACATTATAATATATAATAGAACATAATATATAATTATAACATTATAATATACATTACATCATTTTAATATATATTAATCAGCCACATACTTTTTTCTTGGCTCTACGTTTTTCTGCCCTTCGGCGCTCCCTTTCTTCATCTGTCATATCCTTTGGACAGTTCTGCAGGCAAAGTATATGATCATAGCCACTTCCAACAATATAATAATAATACTCTCTTAATTAATACTGTCTTCACAAATTTTAAATAATTATTCAAACTATAACAATGTGGGTTCTGGGCCCCCGTTTGAGAGAGAGAGAGAGAGAGGGGGGGGGGTGTGTGTGTGTGTGTGTAAAATAGATCCACTTCTCTCTAAAAAGCAGGTCGCAGGAGGTGATTAATTAGTGGTATATCCTCTGAAGTCGGAGTTCATCTGCCTGACAGGCAAGGAACCAACAGTCTGCATACAAATAAGTTAGATCTGTAAAATGGATGTGCAAACAAAACTCAAATTCTGGAACAAGACCAAAGTCCATAAGTGGATGAACAATCAGAACTTTCCTTGGAGCTTAGAGCGGGTGAACGCTAAAGAGGAGTAGGAGATTTAAATCGAAACAATGATTTCCTGTCCTAAATCTGATTAGTAAAAAGTTGAAGAAGGGGACATTTTTTCACGCCAGTGGCCTATCGTACATATGATGCTAGACTAAAATTTGTACAGGCCTATCGGGCGCTCTGTGGGTGATGTGGTCAACATCTTGCAGCAGCCTTTACTTCCCAGTTATGCTAAATATGACACAAAATGTGACTAGAAAGCTCAACGGAGAGAATAGAAACAGTTAACCTGGCAGCCAAGGTAGTTTTTTTAAAAAATTCAGCTCTACACAGACTGAAATCTAGGACCTTCAGCCAGAGGCAAATGTCTAACCGCTATACAACTGCAACTCCCTTATCGGAACAATGTAAAGTAAATGAATCCTTTCAACTTAACACACGCACACAAAAACAAATACTTCTTATTCTAACACTTATCTACCAATGAGTTCCTCAGCCAACTCACAAACAGTTATTGCAACCTTTCCCTAGCCTACCTTATGTGGTCTCTTTTTAATCATTTTCTAATTCTCTTCTCCGTTTATTGGTTGAGCTCTCTCTTAGACTGCTGTTCTTTATTTCTTAACACTGTCCTCCAATTTGTCTACCCTTTGCTCTATTGCCTTGGACATTCCCCATTGTATTATTTTTAAAAGTATCACGTCCATAACTCTTTGAGGCCCAAGCAACGGTGAGCGTTGTTTGAGAAGTTCCATTTTGCCCAGACAACGCGGCCATCGTCAATCGTGTGTACCGTATATTGCTTCGCACATGGCTGTGTACTTGTTTCGAATGTTTGGAAGTATGATTAAACTATTCAGGAAAAAGCCACTATGCCGAACAAAATTTTGTTTCATTCATTATCTCAGTCACACGTGTTTAATTTGAGCGGAATCGCAGCGATATTTTTTTAACAGTTCATTTGCCTAAGTTCGTTTTTGAGTGCCATAATACCAATGTTTCAACCACAAGTACAGGTCGCAGAATGCGTCTTTCTGCGGTCGAAGCTCTGACATTGTTTCAGTCAGATTATTTTAATTTGGATAATATCGAAAATTTCGATTTTTCGGAAAGTGATTCAGACAGTGAATTTTCATAAGCGAAGCTGAGCGATCAGCTGTTATGAATCTAGTGATTCAGATGAGTTTATTACACAGACAATGTCCCATTCCTACCATATTTATGGTGTAAGAGCAGGAAAGTGCTCCAAGTAAACAGACAGTACTATACTAAGGCTAAACTACACTGAAATCACTGCAGCAATATTCTATATTTAACTGTAAAAAGTAAATAGTAAATAAATAGTGTGTGTTATGGCCCATTTATTCTCTGAAATTTTGCTCAGCACTCTGTGAGAACTAAGAGCCCTTGAGTGCTAAATTAACACAGTATCATAACTTTAGAATTTATGGAATAAATAGAACAAACTTTGAAGTTTTGTTCTCAAATTTGGATATTTACTACTCTTGTGGCTGCAAAACCATGGTAAATGAAGAATTTGTTTGTAAAATGTTGTTGTTGTGAAATTAACACCTGCTGAATTATTGTTTCCTACTAACTATAACAAAATTAAACTAACACTTATCATCAGATTCAAAATATACATTCGTTTCTCTTTGAAAAAATTATATACTTTTATAGGGATTAGAAGAATATTACATTCTCTATTGCCTTTCTTGTACACCACCCCCACTGCCATTTTTGTAAAAGGAAATTATTGAGGGCAAAGTCTGTCACAATTCATGGGCCTGAAAGAGTTAATATGCTGAAATATTTCACTTGTCTTTTTTGTAAATCTTTCAGTAAATCTTTTCATTCCTAGTCTCTGCAGAACGTATTTCATTGTTTCCATGACACACAACCTATTCTTTCATATATCCACATCTCCAGAAACAATCTAATTTTCTAACTGCTTGTTCACTGTCAAGATTTCTTCACCATATAGTAGGGTTGAGTGTTCATAATATCTGACAATTCCAACCTTAATACATTGTCTTTCTCTCAAGATGTCAATTATCTGAAGATACTTTCAGCCATTCCTGGATCTTTGTTTTCAACATTTCCATTTCAGTTATGCCATCATCTATTATTATACATCCTTCTTCTTCATCGCATTCACCAGCTGTTAACTCCGGCCAGTAGTTCTGGTTGTTCGTCCACTTCTGGACTGCAGTCCTGTTCTAGAACCTGAGTGTTGCGTGTGCATCCATTTGACGGATCTGACTCATTTGTGTGCAGACTGTTGGTTCCCTGCCTCTAAGGCAGATGCGCCCTGATTTCAAAGGAAGCTCCCAATTAGTCGACTCTTACAACATGCTTTTGAGGAGTCAGTGGGTCTATTGTTGTTTTCCCTATAATACCCACACAGGGGATTATACATACAAGATGAGACGCTTGTTGCTAGTTCTAATATCTCTCTGTTTGCTGTCATGTTAATTTTCTGGCCGTAGTCAAACTGTTAGTTACTTTTGAGTGTGATGTGTTTGTATTTTAACGGAAAGATTTCCATTTTCTTGCTTCATCTCATTCAAATCTGTATCACTTTTTAAAGGGCAAATGCAGAAGAAAAAGAAAATTAAATGTTTCTGTACACTTACCTCTGACCTTGCATAATTTGAGCTGGAATCTGTTTTTGAAAGAGAAATAAATGGAATAAAACTGAGGCCTTTATCCTTTTGGAGAAAACAGCAAATTAATATACCAGACTGACTTTTTAAACTAAAATATAATCAGTTTTGTTACTGAATACACGTATACAGTAATAATAATATAAAGTAAAAATAATATAATTATACAGTAATAATTTACAATAACAGAGGTATAATTAGTCCCCAATGGTAAAGGAACTATTATCAGTGGTGGTCAGCCAGTGAAATAATCACTATGTTGGTAAGCCAGTGAACTAACTACTGTGTTGGTCATTCAGTGAAGTAACCACCACACTACTTCTATCCGAAACAATACAGAATTAAAAACTTACCCTTTTTGTGCAAACGGTCATTTGGAAGTTGGCTGTCTGAATCCTCAGAGTCGTCATCATCATCATCACTATCATCACTGGAATCAGACTGGTCATATACTACATTATTGTTTCCTGAAACACAAAAAAACAAAAATTAATGCTGGGTTGTCAATAGTGTCAACTGTCAGGATCATGAAAAACATGACGTAGTTATGAAAGCTCTTCAAAAGTAAAACAAAGAGTATAGAAAACCCCTCATATGCATCTGACTCATTACTTCCCGTCCTTTTAAGAACAATTTTTTTTGTTAAAAGCCCTACTCTGGCTCTTGCCATGGGCCGCAATATAGCCTGGCCATAAATGTGGTCTAAAGGCTGAACACGGTTTCTGGGACCTCTCCACGGTGATCCTCAACCACATGGTGGCACATTGTGTCATCAGGTGTTTATCGCTTGTGTGATGTCCTGGTGGGGCAGACAGTCAGTCAGTCAGTCAGTCAGTCATCTGACTCATAATGCTAGACCAATATTTGTATAGGCCAATCTGCACTCAATGGGTGATACGGACATCATCATGCTTTACTTCAAAAGACTTTATCAGATGTCCAGTTTAGGCTGGGTCAGAAAAGATTATCTGTATTCTTTTTTTTAGCAATCAATGTTTGCAAAAGCATTTCCACAATAATCGGTAAACACAAATAGGACAGTGCCTTTGAGGTTTTCACGGCTTCACCAAATAGCAGTCCCTGAATACTATTTTTAACAAACATAATAATAACCAGGCCCTCCCAAAACACTGCACAGGCACAAACAGAAACTATGCTATTAACTAGGCTTAAGGAGGCTGGACAAAGCCATAAAGCCACAACATATGTCATACCGTGATCTGTAACGGACAGCAAATATACAATATCAGCTTGTCTCGGCCAGGACTAAAATCCTCTATTTACAAAACATTACAGATACCATGGCTGATGGAAGACCCTTCACAGTTAAATAACCAGCCAGACTCTTGATAATGGCACCTCTGCTGCCTTTGATCTCCCAATGGAGCAAAGGCTCTCAACCAACTTATGCAAAGTTCTTGTAGGCTTGCTCATGACACACTGGAATTTACAACTAAAGTTTTCCATAAGTTGAGGTAGCCAGCAGGAAGCCAGATCTCCTTAGCCACTTCTTTAATATGCATGGCAGTATTACAGTTATACTATCCTTTGATTTTTTATATAGATCCTGGCAACATATGGGAGGTTGATGATACACTAGATTTAAAAGCTAATCAATTTAAACCAAAAAGCAAGCTCAACAACACATACACACTACCAAAATTAGCTACACTATACGTGTCCATTTTAGTTTCAAGCGAGACATAGATCATTTAGGATTTCATGACAGTTTTCCTGTACATGAGATATGGTTGACGCAGAATATTTTTCTGTGGGGACAACAACCCTAACCATCCACGTCTACCCCAAGTCATCCAACAAATGCTCCATGTCTATAACACAAGTGAGAAAGTAACAAAGAGATGAGCAAACAACAGTCTGTTAGAGTGTACAACCAGGGTGAGAGAAGGTATTGGAAATTCTTGGTGACAACCTTTGGTAAGGAGACAGCAGCTGGGTGATTGACTGAATGACACAGGAATGAACTGCTTTTACAAACAATGCAACATTCACACCTAATTTGTTTCTTTTTTTTTTTCCCAACTATAATCAGATATAGAAGGTCTTGAAAGATTTGAAAAGAAAAGAGAGCTACTGAAAACATTAAATAGCAATAAGTAGAACATTTAAGACAAAAAGCATGACATGCTCTTAGGGAGAAAGGTTTAAGACACATGAAGAAAAGGTTGACAATACAAGCGGGAGACTAATATTCATACCTGATCTTTTAAACACGACTTGCTGGAAGATTGATAAACACTCATTCTGAAAAGTAAAATAAATTGTATTTTTAAATGCTGAAATAAATAGACATTAATTGTGCTATATGCTGCAGGAGACACATTAATTAATTAGTACTGTAGAATTCATTTATACATAAGGATCATAAAAGGGCTGGAATATAGTAGATTTATATGTAAGAAACAACACAATCAGTACATAATAGACAACATTGGCAGCGTATTTATAAGTATATGAATTACAGCAGAGTTAATGCATGAGTAAACAAACAGTTGAATCTCTTTTAACATGTTAAACACATAAGAATTAGTTTATTACAACAGCAAAATATATCTAGTGATTAGAAGAAAAGCACTGTTATTACATTGACAGAATAACACAAATAGTCTATGTAGCATGATTTTTAAAAATAAGTTAGTTTTTTTTTTTTTTGCTGTTGCATTTTTTCTAGTCAAATTTACATTTAGTAGTTTGCAGATAAAACTGGCTGTCACCCAAAAATAACAATAAATGATGAAGAAATTGAAAATGTCACAAACTTTGAATATCTAGGCTCTATAATAAATAACAATGGAGACTGTTCAATAGAAATTAAAAGGAGGATGGCCATAGCAATGCAGAGATTGAACAGCCTTAAAAGTCTATGGACCATGCATCTTCCCTGTGGCTACATACGGATGTGAGTCGTGGACTATCTCTCAGTCAAGAATGAGAATAGGGGCTTTTGAGCTGAAATGCTATAGACAGATTCTCAGAATATCTTGGACAAAGAAGATGAGAAATGTTGACATCTTAAAGGATCTGAACATCAAGGAAGATTGGCTAATAAACAGTATCCTTTCACGAAAGCTAAAATATTTTGGTCATATCAAGCGCCACGACGGTTTGGAAAAAATTATAGCAGAAGGCATGGTACCAGGAAAGGAGGGGCAGGGGCCGACCAACACGAAGATGGGCACAGGATATAAGTGACTCCTTGAGTGTATAAGTGCATGAGGCAGGAGAACTGACGAGAGACCAAGTTTCTTTCAGGCAGACTGTGATGAGAGCGACGTTCTGCTAAGGACCTGCTACATGATGATGATTTGCCATTGCTTTTGAAAGGTCAGATTTCAATACCACTGTCAAAACAACACAAGATGGTCTGCTGCCAAACTGCCTGCAGTTGGGGCTGAACCCGGCACTATTAAGTGCTACTGCTGCATGACATTCAAACACAATCAGGAACAATCAAAACCATAAATCATCATTCTGACAATAACATTTCTATACAAAGCCTGAACATAAAACATCTAGACGGTGATATCTGCACATTTCGGACCCACCGAAACATGTTCTATTTCAGCAAACTCTTAATTAGTTGCTTTTTTTTTTTTACCACATGCTTGTATGTGGGCGGGTGGGGGTCTTTTAATTTTAAAGCTGATAAGCTTTATTAGGAGATAATGTCTGCTTTAAATTCACAAGACATAAACGTTATTCTAACAGTAAGCACCATTCAAGTAAGAGTTGTTATCATTAGGCCAACAAATCAGAAAAGTACATACATCTCACATATAATGTTAACTGAAGAATGTGGAATATTTCTGCCAAATTGACAGAGATAAAGCCTTTATAAAAACAGGAGGAAAAGGTCAGAAACATCCAGAGATAGACAATCATATTTATAAAAAATAAAAAAGTAAAGGACCCTTTTCCATGCCTTTAGGCGTATAGGGCATATAGGGCTAGACCTATATTTTTATAAACCAATCAGCACACGATGGGTGATGTGGTCATCATCACGCCGGCCGCCTTTAATTCCCGGGACTGCGCCCGGTACCCACTCAAGGCTGGGTCAACCTGGAAGCCAAAATCATTTCTTTTTTAAAAGTCCGGTTCTGTCAGGAAGCGAACCCACGACCTTCCGAGCTGCGGCGAGCGACTAGCCGCTCCGCCACGATGACTCCCATTCATATATATATGGAAGGATAACTTTAAGGGATGGATGAACAGCAGACAAAGTATATGTGGTCAGAGTTAGTGGCAGACAGTGTTGGAGTATGCAGCAGACCTGAATTGTGAAGAAAATATCTAACTGACTAAGTGAATTTTAGATAATAATTATGAATACAAAGGTTTAACTAATTATGGGCTGTTGCCTTAATTATAATGGAATGAAAGAATAAAACTAACCATATTTAAATCTTGGTTAAACTCTGGGGATGTGAGTTTTCTATATGCAAGGCTTACTTGTTTGAATTTCTGTTGAAGAAACAAAAATAGCCGGATATATATGCATTAGAACACATAAATTTGTTTGTGCTTATTTGGCTAATTTAAAAAAAAAAAAAATTCAACAGCTTGCAAAAACTACTGACATCTAGACATATCAAAAACATGTTTAAAATAAGAAGTGTCAAATCTAATCAACACTACTGAGTGTATGGTGTAGAGACCTGGACAATAAACTAGCAATCAACACTAATGTGTGTATGGTGTAGAGACCTGGACAATAAACCAGCAATCAACACTACTGAGTGTATGGTGCAGAGACCTGGGCAATAAACCAGCAATCAACACTACTGAGTGTATGGTGCAGAGATCTGGACAATAAACCAGCAATCAACACTACTGTGTGTATGGTGTAGAGACCTGGACAATAAACCAGCAATCAACACTACTGTGTGTATGGTGTAGAGACCTGGACAATAAACCAGCAATCAACACTACTGTGCGTATGGTGTAGAGACCTGGACAATAAACCAGCAATCAACACTACTGAGTGTATGGTGTAGAGACCTGGACAATAAACCAGCAATCAACACTACTGTGTTTATGGTGTAGAGACCTGGACAATAAACCAGCAATCAACACTACTGAGTGTATGGTGTAGAGACCTGGACAATAAACCAGCAAATAGACACCAAACTGAGTATCTCTAGAGACCTGGACAATAAACCAGCAATCAACAAGATGAGTTTATCTGTAAAACCTGGACACACAAACCATCAATATAGAACTACTGTGGTGTATGGTGTAGAGATCTGTTGACAATAAACTCCTAAAAATTGTACATAGGGAGCCAGCATAAAAAACAGACAGTCCTAAAAGTGGGAGGATACTAGGGAGAAGCACAAGGCAAGACAGTGCTGCTTCTAATTGTTTAAAGGCTACCATCTTGATGCTAGGATTTTTCTGCGTTGTCTTCCTGCTGTTTAGCGTTCACCAAATTTCTTTAAGTGTAGCCCTGTGGCATGCTGGCCAGATGGCTGACCCATCTAATCTCTTGCTCTTAGCAGGTAATTAAGCTGTATCATTAGTTTCAGGCCTAGTCTTCTAATGTCTTCATTTATAAATTGTATCTCTTCCTGTTGCTCTTCAAATATATCTCATCTCTGTTTTGATTTTGCACTCATTAGTTGTAGTAAGGGTCCCTATTATACATCTGTAGAATAAAGTTGGCTAAAAGATAGTTCTTATTATCTTCTATGTGTAAAAAGTTGTGTTAGTTGTCCAAGTACCTGATATATTTTTGCATATTGTTTGTTGATTTCTCTATCCATTTTTTCCTTCTGATATGAAAGCTGATCCTACATATTTAATATGTAATAAATTTGTTAACATATTATGTGTAGATCGCATTCCTAAATATGTGTGGCTTTCATTCATTTGGTTTCAGTAACAAATGTTGCCTGTTGAGTTACAGTGGATAAATTATTACCTTAACAGATTCAGCAGAAAACTTGTGTTTCTCTGGGTGCCACCTGATGGCTAACTGCTTGTATCTTGTTGAGACGGAATTAATATCAGGGTCTAGTGTGTGAAAATATGGAGAGAAAAAAAACAAGTAATTTTTTTATATAGGCACATTTTCCTTCAGTCAGAGAGTATCTGTCTGAGAGATAAGTAAACAATGTTTGCACACTAATAAGGTAAATCTGTAAAATGCGTGTGCACGCAACATTCAAATTCTGGAACAAGGCCGAGTCCACAAGCTGATCAACAACCTGGGTTTAACAGCTGGTGAACATTAAAAAAAAAATAATTTTTAAATAAAGAACCCTTTAGACAGTACTGCCACACTGGGCAAATGACCCTAGACCAGCGGCTCTCAACCTGTGGGTCGCGACCCTTTTTTTTTGGGTAGAGCAACCATTCACAGGGGTTGCCTAAAACCACTGTAAAACAGACATTGATTGAAGTGGGAACAAAATAATTGTATGGTTGAGGGTCGCCACAACATAAGGAACTGCATTAAAGGGTTCAGGCATTAGGAAGGTTGAGATCCACGGCTATCCTCCGAATAGGGGTCCTAAATTATCGAGGCGGAAAATATACCCTAAAAGAGCCTCAGTCACGTTCAATTGCGCACTTCCGTCGTTTTTAATTGCAAACTTCCGGCGACTTCCGCCACCGCCAAGAGTATCCCCACGCTCACACTAGATGGTTGGGACTCACGAGCAGCAGCGATCGCATCTCATGCAGCTTCCTTCATTTTATTTGCTCATGAGTCCTAGCCATCTAGTTTAGCCCCAATCCACGCCGTGTAAGCGGCATGGGGGGATATTCTTGGCGGTGGCGGATGTCCCCGGAAGTTCGCAATTCGACGGTGGCGTTATAGTCCCCGGAAGTGCGCAATTGACACGTGATTAAGGCCCTGTTAAGGTATATTTTCCGCCTCGATAATTTAGGATCGTTATTCAGAGGATAGCCAGAACCACTGCCCTAGACACACACATTTATACACCATTTGGCACTCAATGGGTGATTCTGGCAAAACCACAGTGGTCACTATTACTACTATTGTCTGAACAGATTTGGTACGTAAAAAGGATTACTATAATTGCACACAAAAATTTCCATCTCTACTCTAGTCTTCTCCTACAGTCTACAGACCACACAAGATCAAGAAGGTAAACTCACATGACAACTGTAGCACCGATGAGAATTCCGATGTAAGTAAAAAATGAATCACACATATTATTATTAATTAAATAATTAATAATATTATTGTTTTAAATCAAATAAACATCAAATTATGTGTGGATAGTGATAGCTTTTCTAATTTGAAAATTATCCCTGGGGCAGTTGTATTTTCCGTTACCTGACTGACACAGTGGCTTTGAATTAAGCTAAACTGAACTTGCTAGTATTTTAATATTCACATTCATACATTACAATATACGAATATACATACTTTTAGTATTTTCTTTCGTGGCAAATAGATTCACAGCGCATAGGTTATTAATTAATTTACAATAATTTAAATAATGTTTAAGAGGTGTGTGGTATGTTACCCAAGCATACAACGAGATTTGCAGACAATACAATGCATGACACATCATACATGAGGCCCTAAAAAAATCAATAAACGTGGTGACTACAAATAAATACAGACCAAAACACTTTAGAGTCTTTCCAACTCTCACAATCACAATCACTTTTGCAAGTGCAAAAATAGTTCAAAGCACAATTATTCAGTTTGAGTCTCTTCTGTCTAAGACTAATTAAGTCATTCAAAGACTTCAATTTAATTATCTAACATCAGTCGTTAGTTTAATTCTGGACGTTTAAAATAATGAGTCAATTTACTAATTTATCGCATAAGGAAACGCAATTACCATATATAAATATAAAAAATTATTTCATTATTTTTTTTTTCAATATCCAACGTTTTTCTTCACTTTCACTTTTTGTTTCACTGTTAGTAAAAAAAAATTAATAATAAATGCCATGTTTTTACTTACCTAAAGGAAGTCCCAAAATTTCACATGCATTCTGATTTGTAAGAACCATATCTATCATTTGGAAGAAACGATGCCGAAGATGTAAGTTATACACAGACTTAGAAGTATGTAGTCCAGCTAGAAACAAGCACAAAAATACAACAAACTATTGGTGGTCGCCATATCTTGCCTGCCAGTGACGCTGTCGATCTCGTTCTCGTTGTTTGTGCGCTATTGCCAGATAGCACTTCTGCCACCTTAAAACGTTAGATTAACGAAATGAGAGGACGGCTGTACAATTATGAAAGTCTGATTTAGGAATCGATGTCACAGTACGCCGGGCATACCCGTAGATGCTTCGCCTCCCGCAGAAAACCCAGTGGGTGTAGATGATAACTGTTCTTGTAGCACCCTGATTATACACTCGTCGTTGTTTTCCTTTCATACGTCACTCCTTATTGGATCCACATCTAATTCTATGTTCACACATTCTTGCATCAGCATTCGTTCAGAAATGGTCTTCATGATAACACCTTTGTCCAATACAAATGTTCCTGAAGCGCCCCCCCCCCCCCCACCTCCCAAATGCAGCAGCCATTCCAAGGTACCTTTACTCGTTGTTTCCATGAAAAGTTGGTTATAGTGTCTCCTGTCTTGACCTCAAATACTGCATAGACTTGCTTCACCAAGCTTTATTTACATGTCACGCAATCGTGGTAGCGTAAGCTATTGATTATTATCCCCGTAATTAATCCGTACAGCGTTGATAATAGCTCTGCCCAGTCTTCTTCCTGTTTGCATTGCTACACTACTTGCCCTCAACCATACATTTATATTCTTTCCTATTATTTTTTTTTTAATCAACGTTTGTCACATATCTTCCCTGGCGCTAGCTATGAAGTTTTCTACGTGATGCTCATATGCAAACATCTGTCCGAAGGCCATAGCAAGATATTTCATATTGCCCATTCCCTCAAAGTTTATATCACTCATGCTCACGTTTGGCGTATGTATACTGACAATGTAAGTATTCAAGAAGAACTTTGTAGCAAGCCTTTGCCTCCTATTTCTTCCTCGTCGGTTACACAAGGATACCAACTGTGAACAACATTATTCTCTCGACCATCTGTGCATTGATGACAACTGATTTGACACACTGAAGACATCAGGAGACAGTGGTGATCCCGAGGCAGACTGACGAAGCTAATGAGCTGCTGGTGTTGCTGGTAAACAGGAAGAAAAGATTGTTAATCCTCCGAACTGCGGTTCCAAATTAGGGGTTGTGTTAGGACTTTTCAGTTTGATATTTAAAAGCCTCGATTAATACATTTGAATTTATTTATCATATTATAACTGCATACAGTATAGTGTCAAGATAAAGGTCCGTGTGGTATATTTTCTCAGTAAGATGCAAGTCTTCGAAATGCTGCCCCTAATAACTTCACGCATTACATCAAAAGTTCAAATTATATTTGGGACATGTTCACGTTTCAGTCTGATCTAGGTCAGAGGGGTGTCACGTTGTACTGCTTTTTTTTTTTCTAAAAGAGTTTCTCGTATGACCTAGGTACGACTCTTTTTATCTGGAGAAGGCTGTGGGTAGGGGGGTTTTGGTTTGGGCCAGTTATACACATTCTGGGTGCGTTAAAAGCTGTATCGTCATGTAGTATAGAACACGCGACATCGGCGCTGGTGTAATTGGAGGAAAGACAACGTGACACCGCTCCGACGTAAAAGAGTCTGAGAATGTATAAATAAAAAGTCAGGCTGTTTGTAGATGGGCTTGGAAACATGAACAGAACAATATTTTGATTTCGCTGCCTGTGCCGAATCTCTGTATCATAGCACAGCACGGCTTTGCTCAGATAACCCTAACCCTAATCTGGGAACGCCGAATTTGGAGTAAGTGACCTCCAACCACACTAGGACCGCACAACGAGCGACAAATACCTGGTGACACAAAGTGCCACTTTTCGAATGAGATCACCCGGGTACAAGTCCCAGAACGGTTAGATTGAGTTTGAAAAAAATTCTAGGCAAAAACAATTTGCATCCCATATTAGGGCGGAGCGTAAGTTAGCCGAATTTAAGACCGCCGATGGGAAGATAGCAATATTATAGCATTTATTTGCTCCTGCCGTTTCGAATGCATCAATGGTTTCCCGGCAATTTAAAGTCTTTTCTTCTGTCTTCATTCTTAAATGGACTCATTATATTTTGATTTACAGCTAGGCTGCGATATCTGCGCCTTTCAGCTTATTATATCCAATGACATGATTGCTTAAGGGATAGTGGGTCTATATACCCCCCCCCCCCCTTCCCGTCTATCCTCGTTCTTGCACGAGGAATTTACAATCTTCAGACAAGGTTTTACCGGAGAACGCCTTGTTTCAGTCCTCTGTTTTTTATTGAGTACAGTTGACATCCATTCACTCCAAGAAACACGTGACGACCTTTCAACTGTGAACCTTAAACCTTGCCTTTTTGTAACCAAGTGTAAGCTGTGTACAGTGCAAGATGGCAGCGTCTGTATTCCAACATATCGAACATGCACCACCAATTGAAGTGTTTCAATTGACGAAGTTATTCAATGAGTGTAAAAGTTCCTCCAAGGTTAATTTGGGAGTTGGCGGTATGAGTAATGACACGGTTGTTAATTTTGTTTTGTTAAGAGCAGTAGTCACAATAATTTTTCGACAACAACAAAATTGGCTGTCCTCCGAATAACGGTCCTAAATTATCGAGGCAAAAATATACCCTAACAGGGCCTCAGTCACGTGTAAATTGCGCACTTCCTTCGTCTAAAATTGCGCACTTCCGCCACCGCCGAGAGTATGGACCCACCATGAAATAAAATGAAGGAAACTGCAGGAGATGCAGTAGCTGCTGCTCGTAAGTCCCAGCCATCTAGTTTAGCCCCGTTCCGGTAAGTCAGTTCTAAAGGGAGATATTAACATTGTTGGGTGGATACCACCATAGACAAGTTATAATGTAATATGATGACAAAAGATGGATTCCAAGTTGCATCGCAGTAAAATGTAGGTTTAAACTTACTAAATGTTTGCATATTATGGCAATAACTACTGGTTTTGCTAGTCACACTCACCATCGCCATGGGCTGTGAGTCCCATGCCTCCGCATAGCACACAAAAACACTAACACTGAGAAGACAGAAAAGGGCCAACAAGAAGAAGAGTGATAGTAGTAACTTAAAAAAAAGGGGGGATTCTAGTTGGGATATTAAGTGGTCATTGAGCAGAAAGACTGGGTGATTCTTCATCACTTGATGGTGAATTGATGCATAAATCCCTGTATGGGTTCCTAGGCCCTATTGTTGGGGGAAAAAGAATAGATCCACTGCCTCCCCAACAAGTGTTTCATATGGGTCGACTTATTGAGAACATCTTTCAACGTTGGAGTGCATCTGCCCAAGCGACAAGGAACGACCAAGTACACACAAATAAGCCAGTAAACTAGATGCGCATGCAAAACTCAGGCCCTGACACAAAGCTCAAGTCCAAATGGACGAACAACCAGGACTTTCTGCCGAAGCTTACAGCCGGTGAACAAAGAAGATGCAGATGCATAACAATCTAGATATTGTAAGGGTTCTTTGAGAGCAAATAAACAGTCATGCCGAGGCAGAAATCGATCAGCACAGTCTGGAGAGAATGGTGCTGCAAGGCGTGAATAAGTGATGTGGCCAATACTCAACACTGAAAGGAAAGGCAAGACAGATATACAGTAAGGCTGTTACTGGTACCATAGCAGATAACTCTGTGCTTGCTGCTGAAGATGAGGATAGGTGCTTATGAGAATGTCCTGAGTGCTGTGAAATCAATTCTTATTACAATTGATATAGTAACAAATTTTGTAGTTTCAGTTGTTTAATAAATACTGTTTACATTCAGCATACAGAGATGAGAATGGAAAACCCTTGGTTCTTTCCGTTGTGAGAGCCGTAGAGCTGTGTATGGCAGATGACAAAACATTGAATCATGAATATTTGCCGGTCGCTGGTCTGCCCGACTTTCGAACAGCAGCAAATAAGCTCATGTTGGGTTCTGAACACAGAGCTCTTTTGGACCATAAGGTATAATTTGTAAAAGAGTATGTTGCTCTTTGTTAGATGAGATAATTGAAAACACTTTAGTTCCATTTTAAATGTTGAAATCTTTTGTTTATGTTATACAGGTAGTTCAGTGGTAGAGCAGGAGTATCTAGACTGTTAGCACTGTTCTCATTGAGACATCTTAACATCAATCATCTTCCACTTTTGGCATTAACTATTATGTAGGACTGACTGACTCTCTACCCCACCAGGACATCACACAAGCGATTAACACCCGATGACACAAAGTGCCCTCATGTGGATGAGGATCGCCGTGGAGAGGTCCCAGAAACCGCATTCAGACAATTTGCCATATTTATGGCTTGCCTATATTGCAGCCCCTGGCAAAAGCCAGGGTGGGGCTTCAAATAACAAAAAATTTCGCCCTAAAAAGAACAAAACACCTATTGCTAGGTGAGCTGATTAGTAAAAATAACTATTATGTCGCAAGCAACACATTATGTGTCATTGGATATTTTCATGTGTTCCAGTTGATGTGTTTGTATAATTTTAGATTGTACAAAGTCTGACAATTAAGTAATGAGACCTATTCCATAAAGATAAAATAATCAACATTTGAAGATATAACCTGTATTTTATTCAAAGTAAGCCCCTTGTACATTGATACAGCAAGTGGCACGATCTAACAAACACTGGACCGAGCTCTGTAGTTCTTCTGTTGTTATGGCCCTTAAAGTCAATGTTGAGGCCCTTTGGATGTCATTAATATCGGTAACGAAGTGTCCTTTCAATCGTAACTTTGATTTTGGGAATAGAAAATAATCACAGGGAGACGGTAAAAAACCGTTCTTTCAATCATAACTTTAATTTTGGGAATAGAAAATAATCACAGGGAGACAAATCTGGGTAATAAGGTGGAAGGCTGAGAACAAACACTTGTTTTTGGGCCACAAATTTTTGTTTTGATGATGTCTCTTGTGTACTCAACCCTTTGATGTTTTTGGTCA